AAGAAGAAGAAGAAGAAGAAGAAGAAGAAGAAGAAGAAGAAGAAGAAAAGAAGAAGAAAAGAAGAAGAAAAGAAGAAGAAGAAGAAGAAGAAGAAAATTGCTTCTGAAAATCCTGGCTCAGGGGCTGGAGAGATGGCACAGCAGTTAAGAGCTCTGGCTCTTCATTCAGAGATTGTTTGTGTGCTTTTTCGAGATGGGTTTCTCTGTGCAGCCTTGGCTGTAGACTAGACTGGCCTCAAACTCACAGAGATCCGCCTGCCTCTATCTCCCCGAATGTTGGGGGATTACAGGCGTGTGCCACCTTGCCCTGCATTAAGTTTCTTTTTGTTTGTTTTCATCCAGAGATTCTGAGTTCAATACCTAGCAACCACATGACGACTCATAACCATCTGTAATGGGATTTGATCCCCTCTTCTGGTGTGTGTTAAGAAAGAGCACTCATATACATAAAATACATAAATAAAACTTATTAAAAATCATTGCTCAGGTTTTAAATTTAAATTTTATGGGTATGGGTATTTTGTCTGCATGCCACATGCATGCCTGTAAGAAGAGGGTGTCAAAGCCCCTGGAACTGAAGTTACAGATGGTTGCTGGGAATAGAACCTGAGCCCCTTAATCTGAGCCATCCCTCCAGCCCAGTTTTTATACTTTAATTTTTATGTGTATGGCTATTTTATCTGCATGTATGTGCACTATTTTTGTGCCTGGTGCTCTGGAAGCCAGAAGATGGCATTGAATCCTTTAGAACTGGTGTTGCAGACAGTTGTGAGGTGCCATGTGGATGATGGGACTTGAACCCAGACCCTCTGCAAGAGCAGCCAGTGTTCTCAACCACTAAGCCATCTTCCAGCCCCTTTCCTCAGTTTCCACGTCCTGTCATTACAGCAGCTAGTAAAGGTCTTCATCTCTTTCTGAACTGAAGCAACCCCCTAAATCTGAGTGTGGTCCTTTTCTCCCACTCCTCCCTCCTTCTCTTTTTCACCTAATATTTCTCTTCTGCATCCTTCTAGCAGTTTAGGTTCAGAGGAACTCCTCAAAGGCTGGGCTCATCCTAAAGCTGAGAGGGTTAGACGCATCTATTGCTTTTGTCATCATCGTTGCTATGGTTACCTGTGGTTCTGAGAGAGAAAGTCTCAGTGTGACCCAGATCAGATACTCCTTTAGCCTCTGGGGTCACAGGTCATAGGTGTGCCATCACAGCCCGCTCCCAGAAGCCTTTCTCCCGTCAAAGCCCATCGGCCCCTCCAGTTTCCCCGCTCTGCGGTCCATGCTAGCCTCCAACTCACAGATACCTGCCTCTGCCTCTGGAGTGCCGTGATTAAAGGTGCGCACCACCACACCTGACTGCTTGGTTCTCAATGCTACCTTGGTCGGTCGTCATGAAGTCTGAGCAGCAAGGCATCCATTTTCCACACAGCTGGGATTCAAAGTAGTTCTTTTTTACTCACAAATTTTGTTTTAAAGACCACACATTTTCCCTTGGCTTATTCCATATTCAGGGGCATCTCCCTGTGGAGGCAGGGGCTTCTCTTCATTGTGGCACAGTATCCAAATAAGTTTGTTTGGCTTTGTCTGTGGCTGGGTCTTGCTCTGTTTTCCAGGCTGGCCTGCGCTTCTGCACTCAGTGGTCCTTTATCTCAGCTACTTGGAGTGCTGGGAGACAGACACATCCCACTGCACCTAAAGACAGAACTTATGCCACCCACCTAAAAACTTGGCATTTATTTTGTGTGTATATGTGGAGGTCATAGCACAACTCACAGGAATTAGTTCCCTCCTCCTACCGTGAGGCCTCTGGTGATTGAACTCAGGTCGTAAGGCTTAGCAGCAAGCACCTGTACTTGCTGCCTTTTTGCCAGTAAGTCCAAACCCCTTCTATTTTGAAGAACTACCTCCGCCAGGGAGTCTAACTGATCTTGGAGGTCGTTTATGGAAAGGCCATTCCTCCCCCACAAAGGAGACAGGGAGGGGTGGACACCCCAACATCAATGCCACTATTATCAGGACGAGGTAATGCCCAAAAGCAGTCCCCTGGGGAAAGGTCGGGAAGAAGTTCAGCGGGGAGCAGGAGAGTGATTTAAGATATTTAAAGTATTTAAAATTAATATTAAATATTCAAATGTTTAAAATAAATAGTGCCTTTTTCAATTAATCACGTGGGGGTAATGATTCCCCCTTTTGTTTTTGTAACTGTATCTTTAAAGTTTGGCTAAATCTTTCTGCTTTGGCTTGGCCCTTTGGATTATAAGGAATGCCAGTAGTATGAGAAATTTTCCATGTCTGTAAGAATTCCTGAAACGGTTTGCTCATGAAGCATCAGGTAGACCCAAGGTGGCAAAGCACTGAAGCATATGACTAATAGCATGTTTGGACTTCTCTCCAGCATGAGCCGAGGCCCAACATGCATGGGAGAACGTTAGCCACTGAAAGGAAAATGTCTGCTGAGTGTTTAGTTCAGAAGTTCAAAATGCTATTATATGTCTTGTGAGGAATTTGAGGGGAAGATTTTGAGTTGGGACCCCACTGGACTTTGGAACTGCAGGGTGCCTATGGACTCTTGCCAAGGGAGAACTCCTCACTGCCACTCAGAAGGCCTGCCTGCCGTCCTCTCTCCCCACGCTTCCCTTCCTCAACTGGCTCAGTTTCTAGCACTTCAGAATCTTCCTTCCTGCTAAAGAACTTGTCCAGATAGCTGGTATATGTGCTCTCCTTCTCCACGTGTTCATCCTTCCTGACCTCACAACAGAACTGATAAAACACAATTGTATCTTCCCCTTAACATCCCAAAGCATCCGACCAATGGCTGTATAATTGCCCATTTTTACACATGGGGAACTTGAGGCACCAAGGTAGTTGCGGTTACACAGTTCACTGGTTGGTTGTTGCCTTTCCCTGCCTGGCCCAGGTGGTGGGAGAAAAGAAGCTAAAAGGACTTGGAGGCGGTGGGGAAACAGGACAGTCTCCAGCTAGGAGACCAGGGCTGTTTAGTTTCTCAACTCCAGAGTGGGAAGGAAGAGGGCGGCCATAGTCAGAAGAGTCTAGAAGGGACTAAGAGAGGCAATGATTCTGGTGCCAGCTGGAAAGGAGTGTCACAGGAAGGTGTGAGGAAACACCCCTCCCCACTGCTCACAAACTGGCTGTCCCAAGAGGACTGGAACAAGGCTTCCAGCTGAGCCAAATTAGAGGCCCCTCATCTAGCTTCCCCCTGGCCGCCAAGCCTGCCGCTCTAACCTGCTCCTGGGAGCAGCCTGTTGGAGGCCTGTGGAATATTGGCCAGCTGTGCCCGAAAGCATTCCGTAAGTTATAGGCACCTGGGGGTTAGCTTGCTGGTTGCGTTCCCCTGGACCCTGCTTTCCTCCTTGTAGAAAGGTCCATCCAGTCTCGGGTAGTGCCCGACCGATGCGCCGGCCCCTCAAGGGTGGTCTCAGCCCAAGGCGAATTGGGCCCATCCTCCGCCACTGCCTTATGCAGTTCCTTGAGGTAAAAGATGAGAAACCCCTCACCCCAACCTGCTGAGGCACCGCCACTGGCAAACACCCATTGCAGGAAATAAGCTTATCTGCACAGCCGTCTCTACAAAATGTCTAGAGCCCCGCAAGGCGCCCAGCCGGGGGGACCGGCCGCCCCCAAAGCGGAGACTGGAAACGTTTCCACGGGTAGGGGCCGGCGCAGTAAGTGAGCCCTATGTCCTTTGGGCAGTCTCGGAGGCAAGCAGCCCTCAAGGGTTGTGACCAGGGGAATGACTCCCACAGAGGGGCTAGCCCCACCCTGGGCCTGTGCTCTGTTAGGGATCCGGACCTGGGTCGGCTTTCTGAGATGAAGAGGACTGCCCCATATTTAACGGGGGTACACTCACCCACAGACCAGTTGGCCCGTCAGCGTTCTTCCGTCGAGCAGGATCCGCACACGGGGCACCGGTCTGCCGGGTCCATAACCGGCAGGTAGTGCTGAAAGGAGGGTGGCCAGTCCAGCTGGACGCCCTCCGTGCCTGGGCAGGATGGTGAGTGTCAAAGGCCCAAACCACCCTGGATGCCCCAGGGAACAAAACACCAAGCCGGGAGATCTGTCAAAGCAGGAACTCGGTTTAGTGAATAAAGCGGTCCTTTTTATAGGTTTGGGTCAGGGGGCAGGGTTGAGGAAGTGAGGTAAGATGACGTAGAGGGCAAGGTTAGGTAGTGCAAGGAGAGGTGGGCCAGCGACAAAACTCCACGTAACAGTTACCAGGCAGCGTTGATTTTAAGGAGGATATGCTTAATCACTTTTGCCCGGAGGTGGCACCTCTTAAATCGGAAGCTAAAGACAGGTCTCCAAACTCGAGCCAGGCTCAGGTAGATGCAGCAGGCCTTATCAGGCCCAACAAATATCAGTTTTTAATTTCAGTTTCAAGGTAACTAAAATTCTAAACTAAAAGTTCTCTTTTTTTTTTTTTTTTTTTTTAGCAGACCTGTGCCACCAGCACCTGGAAGGCTGTAGTTTGAGATTGTTGGGGGAAAGGAAAAATGTGATCATAATATATTGTATGGGAAAAAATTTGTTTTCAATTAAATTTAAAAAAAAAAAAAAAGGCTCAGCAGTTAAGAGCACTGCCTGCTCTTCCAGAGGTCCTGAGTTCGATTCCCAGCAACCACACGGTGGCTCACAACACTGTCATCTGATGCCCTCTTCTGGCATGCAGGTGGACATGCAGATAGAACGCTCAAATAGATAAATCTTTAAAAAAATTTTTAAAAAGAAAAACAAAACCTGTTTAAGGGCGGAGAAAGCTTGAGACCAACCCTGGTAGAAGCGCTTTTTTCAAAAAAGGCAAAAACTAAAACTCTTCTCTGCACTCACCTTCAGATGAGCATCTTCTGTTCAGAAACTGCAGAGGTCTAGACGGTGTACTTACTCCTGAAGCTTTATGTTAGAACTCTCTTTCCCTGACTGACCCGGTTTAAAATAGTAACAGGTTTTTGTGTGGATTCTCCCTCTTTTTTAGGGCGCTGTCTTCAGCCTTGAGTCTGAGGAGGAAGAACACCCTGGCGTCCTTGCAGAAGACAGCAATGACATTTATATACTGCCCAGTGACAACTCCGGACAAGTGAGTCCCCCCGAGTCTCCAACGGTGACGACGTCTTGGCAGTCTGAGAGCCTACCTGTCTCGCTGTCCGCTAGCCAGAGCTGGCACACAGAAAGCCTCCCGGTGTCCCTTGGGCCCGAGTCCTGGCAGCAGATTGCAATGGATCCTGAGGAAGTGAAGAGCTTAGACAGCAGCGGGGCTGGGGAGAAGAGTGAGAACAACTCTTCTAACTCCGACATCGTGCACGTGGAGAAGGAGGAGGTGCCGGAGGAGGCATTCCCCGAGGCAGCTGCTCCCTCGTTCCCGCAGATGACCTCCCAGGAAGCCGCAGAAATGAGGAGAGTCGAGAAAGCCAGCCCCGCTTCCTCCGTGTTCGTGGAGTTGGGTGAGGAGGAGCTGGAGGCGGCAGCAGTGAGGCCTGCTGCCGCGGAGGGGGCGGAGCGGGCCGCCCGGCTGAGCGAGGAGGAGGCTGGCAGCAGGAAAAAGAGCCACGCCGAGGAGCCCACTGCTGCCGCGGGGGCTAAGGGTACCCTGGCCACAGAGGGCAAGGCTGTCCTGCTCTTTGGAGGGGCTGCTGCGGTGGCCATCCTGGCAGTGGCAGTCGGAGTCGCACTGGCTCTGAGAAAGAAGTAACAGCTTTTCAGATGAGACAGGAGACAGAAGGACCTACGGCTTTAGTTGTATTCACTGGAACTTAGACTGCCAGCAGCTGACTGAACATTTGCAGCACACTGGGGGAATTGGGCTTTCTGCTCAGCGTGGCAATGGCTTGAGTGTTCACACTGGCTGTCATTCTAAGGGCTTTGGCTCATGCTAGATTCGGGAGGGCAAGAGTGAAGTTTCCATCTACAGCAGGTTTGTCAACTTGGGCACCACTGACCTTTCAGCACTTCTCCGTAGGAGGCTGCCCTGTGCATTATGTAATGATTGGCAACATCCCTGGCTTCTACCCACTAGATGCCAGGGGCATCCACTCCCAGTGAAGGTAGCCAAAAATGTCTCCTACATTGCCAAATGTCCCTGTGGACAAAGTCATCTCCCCGTTGCGGGCCACTGCTTTGAGGGATAGGGTTCAGTGAGGAGGATCTGGGGGAGGGACCTGCAGCGGGAACTGCCAGCTGTTCATCCTGTTGCAGTGTCTCAGGGCAGGTGAGCTGTGCTCCCCAGCTGCTTTTTTCCGCTTCCCCATTCTGTAGTGTGGGGTGCTCCCACATCGCACCACCTCAGGTACTGCAGCGCAGCGGCTCGCCCTGGATCTCCCACAGCCAGCAAGCCCCTGCAGCTCCCCATGGCTCCATCCTTCAAAGATGCTGCCTGTAGGGACCTTTTAAATGATAAATGCCCAGGCCAGGTGTGGTGGCACCCACTGTAATCCCAGCATTTAGGAAGTGAAGGCAAGGAGATTATCATGAGTTCAAAGCTGGCCGGGTACACATACTAAGTTTGAAGCCAGCCAGGACTTCATGGTAAAACCATGGCCCGAGAAGAGGGATAAATACACGGAGGCTGTATAGGAGGGTTAGGGTTCCCTAGTCTGATTGCCAGTGCAGGTTCAGGCTGCAGTCATTGGTCTTCGGGGCAGGAAGGTGGTCTGTCTGACCTCTTACAAGTCCAGCCAGCCAGCCAGCCAGCCCACGTGCCTCTGACTTCGCAGTGACACCTCTGATCGTATGCGCACCCTGTAGACCCCTGCGTTAGTGTTTCTCAGTGCCTGTCCTCAGTCACTGGACAGCAGCTCCTCTGTGGGTTTCCTGCCGTGTAGGAAGCAGTGCCATCCTTGGGCTTACACAATCAGTTGGATCATAACCCTTATTCAATGTAAATCATTGAAATAAATGACAAAACTTTATCATTTAATATTGGGTATCACCTACATAAAAAGTGGGACAGAAACTTGAATTTAAGACCAAGACCGCTGCTGAGGTTCTGGTTTGGTCTTCAGGGTCCGAGAGACTCTTGGCCTGAACTCAGCCCAGTGCCGGGGCAACAGACCAAGAGGACCCTCCCCATGCTCCCACTGTAGCTAGTGGGGCTCCGCAGATCTTCCGTCGCCTGGCTGACCCCATCCCTCCAGGAGGGATGGCACCTGAGGGCCACAGTGCCACCCCACAAGGCACACCTTGATAAGAGGTCATCTCAGATTCGTCCTAGTCATGTGACATTACTTCTTAGATCCTGAAAATTTATAATAAAAATACTTTTAACTACCCTCGTCATCAAGAGCTGATGTTTTGAATGTGCTTGATCTTTTAAAATTATTTTTTAAAGAACTGTTCCCTAAAGAAGTACTTCAAAGAGTTAATTAGGAAGAGATTTTAGGCCAGCTGGTGGTGGCGCACGCCCTTAATCCAGGTGCTCGGGGAGGCAGAGGCAGGCGGATCTGTGAGTTCGGGCCAGCCTGGTCTGCAGAGTGAGTTCCAGGACAGCCAGGGCTACACCGAGAAACCCTGCCCCTAAAAACAAAAAGATTTTAGTGTGTTTTGTGTGTGCTGTGGGTGGGTCGCACTGTGTTGTCCTCTTGTGAGTTTGTGTCCCATGAAGGAGTGATGCTGTCAGGGCTGTGGTGTGGCCGGAGGTGACGTGGGCAGTCCTCACAGGTGGTGGGCCTCCCTCCAGAGTCTGCTGCAGAGGCCGCAGAGGCCGGTGGCTCACCTTGACTTTCGTTTTCCAAGAGTCTTCTTCTGGTGTTGACACTTTGGATTCTCAGGCCCACCTACACACTGACAGTCAAGTTCAGGCGGGAGTTGGTAAGATGTGGCCTTCGTTTCAGGATTTTAATATCCATGTTCTCCACCAGGGCAGGGCAGAGTGTGAATCTGAGCTGTTTTTTTTTTTTTTTTTTTTTTTTTTTAACTGCCTCATGAACACTAACCGAATTTGCCCAAGTATATTTTTCTCAGTGATGGTAAATAGGTAATTTTCCATGGGGTCCGCCATGAAGATTGTTATCCCTATTCTTTCCTTACTTCACTGCCCTCTGCTGGGCAGTGAGGTGGAGTAGCCATCACAAGGGTAGTTCTGTCGCTGCAGCTGTTACTTAAACAAACAAAAGACAGTCTTCCTATGTAGCCTAGGCTGCTCTTGAACTTGTAGTCCGGCCTCAAGCCTGAGATTAGAGGCATGTGCCACCACACCCGGTCTTGCTGTCACATTAAAACTAGTTCTCAAATCTTTCTTCTCCCGAGGGACTGATAATAGGAGGCTGTCTTTGCCCCCTGACTGAAGATTCAGAACACATTCAACTTGAGGGGACACGTGGCGTCAGAACTGAGTCACGGTGGCACCCTCTGTTCTTTGCGAAGTAGAGCGCCGTTGAGCGCTTGTGCAGACAGACTGTCACCTGTGTGTGCTCTGGGCTGGGAGCTCACGGCACGCTCGCAAGTGCTTCAGTCCCTCCTACGCCTCAGCTCTTCGGAGAATCAACTGTTCCATTCGGTAAAATGATGGATGCTCACTTGCCTAAAAGCCAGCAAGGCTTTCCTGACAAAAACATCCGAACTGAAGAGAGAATGCCAGCTTCGTGCTGAAGTGACAAGTCTTGAGTCCAGAGTGCCTTAGCAGGAGGGACTTGAATGATCGTCACTGCCTTCTAGAAAAGTGGTCCAGATCGGAGGTTCTCAGCCTGGGAGTCATCGTGACCTGTTCGGGCCTGAGTGACCCTTTCCCGTGGGTTACATAGCAGATATCCTGAATATCACATATTTATGTTACGATTCACAACAGTAGCACATTCACAGTTAGGAAGTAGCAACAGAAACAGTTTGTGGTTGAGGTCAGCCCGGCATGAGGAACTGCGTTAAAAGGCTGCAGCGTGAGAAGGTTGAGAACCACTGGCGTAGACTGACGTGCTTGTTTGTCCTGGTTCATGTATACCTCACCCGAGGCTTCTCTGGTCCCTCCTGCCCGTGTTTCAGTCCCTTCAGGTATCATCTGTCCCAGGAGAGTGAAGGTCCTGAGAGCCTGGCACTCTGAACCACAGCGGCCGTTGCCTGTCAGCCCCTTCGCTAAGCCCTCAGAGGACGTGGTACCTGCTCTTCTGCTCTAAAGGCGAGACGTGGGCATGTGACCTTTTAAGAGCTTTGTGAAAACTACACTCTTTAGCTAAGAAAACAAGGGCCTCTTTTCCTTTCTCTGTTTTGGGCCTTTATGAATTGTACGTGAACTCAGCTCACTAGTATGGGCCGCCTTGGCCTGGGTCACACACACATATCCCCTGATCTCTTAGCAGTGTGAGATTGTTCGATGCCACCCTCCTAAGAGCTCTGTGTGGGTCACTGCCCCTTATGCTGATCCTGGTTGGGCACTTAACTCATGCCGGAGGCTAGCGGGCTTCCACACCTCACAGCTCCTCCACAGCCCAGGAGCCGCCTGTATCTCGACTTCCCCGGTGACTGGGTAGGAGCCTGCCTAGGACCGGTCTGCCGAGTCATCTAGCTTATCAGAGGCAAGGCAGGGAGTGAAAGCCGACTCCATGCAGGGCCAGCGCTTCACCTAGTGACCCTACCAGTTTCAGCAGCGCTCCCGTAGGCAGTGCCGTTACTCGGGTGCACACAGCAGACTGGGTCAGCCCGTGCTCGGCTGGTTTCTGTTGGAAGGGCACCGTAGGCTAGTCTAGGAGTACCGAGCTCCTTGAATACAGAAAACTCAGGAGCCTATACTCAACAGCTTCCTGCTGCAGTGCCCTCAGACCGGGGGCTGAGGGCCTCGGGGTTCTTGGTTAATGTGTTACTTCCTTGCTACGTCACCCAGCACGTACTGTAACGGGAGGGCAGCCGCCCGACACATCTCTTTCCCCTTCTGTGTCGTTTTTGCTCCCTCTGGTCCTCCCCCCCACCCCCCACAGGGATGGCCTATGCAGACACCTAGAGGTACTATTGGATTCTTGGCACTCAGACTCAGGGTCGGCCAGGTAGCCGTCCATCTTCCTCGTCTGAGAGTGCTTCCCAGAGCAGTCCAGCCACAGAGCAGCGATGCTGCGTCCGTCAGAATGGACGCCGCAGCCTCCCAGCTACCTGACCTTTAGAAAGAGCTGCTCGGAGGACCGGACGCTGGCAAGAGATGAGCACCTTGTCTTCACACAGCCCTCCTTGGGACCCCAACTCGGCCTGCCACGTTCCCCCGTCTGCCAGTTAGGACCCTTCCCACGCTCATGTTTACACGAGGCCCCAGCCCCCTCAACTGCTTCAGTGTGAACTCGGGGCAGAACTGTCTCAGGGACACTCGTGAGGCCAGCTCGGGAGATTCCCCTGTCAACACTGCTTGCTGCCTTGGTGCTGCTCTTTGCATCACGGGAGACGCTGCTCCCCGGGCGTCCTTCAGCAAACACTTTGTGTGTGTGTGTGTGTGTGTGTGTGTGTGTGTGTGTGTGTGCGCGCGCCATGGCGTGTGTGGAAGTCAGGACAACTCGTGAAGCTCGCTCCCCTTCCCACTCACGTGTCCCGACACTTGGGGGAAGGCACCTTTACGCGTGGAGGTGACAGGTTTGTGGGTGCCTCCCCCAGGAAGGTGAGGTGTGTCTCCCCTTAGCGAGGTCCAATAGGGTCTGTCTGGTCCAGTGGCCAGCACTGAAGGAAAAGAACACCCCCCCCCCATTTTCCCTGCTCTTAACAATCTGTGTCTGTCTTCCTTCAGATTAAAAGTGCCTCTTTCTCCTCACTCTTTGATTAAGCTCAGCTGGTTAGTGGTTCTAGTATCCTGTCCCCCACCAATACTGGAATGGTAACTATTAACAGCAAAGGCAGGTATGGCGGTTAATGTTTGCCCAGGGTGCGTGAAGTCCTGGGTTCGATCCTGGCCCTGTGTAAACTGGGCATGAATACATACCTGTAATCCCAGCGCTCAGGTGAAAGCAGGAAGACAATGTCCAAGGCCACACTTGGCTCAGAGCTAACGGCCAGCCTTGAATACACAAGATCATATCATCTTTTTTTTAATTAACATAAGCATAGAAAATTACCATTTAACTCACGCAGAACTCATTTCCCCCGTGTCCCGTCAGATCTGACTGCCTCTGTGATTTGCTCGGTTTATTACTGCGAATTGTTCTGGCCCCCTTTTCCCATCTTGTTGTCTACTTTGTGCCCAATCTGTTCTTTATTGGGAAGTGACAAAATTCAAGTCTACGAACTGTGCTTTCAGTTAGAAGCAACGTCTTGGCGGGGAACATCCCGGAGTTGACAATAAAATGGGATTTTATAATTGGTGACTCATCTTTTTCGTTTACTATTCTTAGGGAGGGGTTATTTCAGATACCGTTTTGTATTCGTTTAAGGACGTGCATTCTTGGTTTGCCCCTCAGTTCTGAATGCGTTGATCCTGGCATTCGAAAGCACATCTCAGTTCCCAGACAGTGAAGTCGCTGGACTAAAGCCAGGCTTAGGAACGGCGACCCCAAACAGCTGTGTGTTTATGCTGGCATGATTTGACCTTCTGACATACTAGGTCATTTGGAGATGTAGCTATGCCAACCACCTTTTTAGAGAAGAACCTTTTATTTCGAAGAAACAAATTTCTATCATTTAAGACAATCACATATTTTTAGAACAGAACGAAAAATATTCTCTGAACAATTATGCCCCCACAAAGATTATGTAACTAAAGAAAAATCCACCCATTTCCAGGATACCCCCAAGCATCACAGCTTGGATGAGTTCAAGATTGGAGCCGCCTGCAGGCTGTGGTGGCTCAGGCCTGCAATCCCAGCTTTAGGAAGGCTAAGCCAGAGAACCACCCAGCGTTTGAGGACATACAGGGAGACCTTTGCCTCTGGAATACAAAAGCAAAGGGAATGTTTGGCTTTGATACACGCACTAAGTCTTCCGTGATGTTAGCCAGGGGGAGAGGATGGCAACTTTGCCACCCATGGAACAGCCAAACTCCTGTGGTTGGGTGGTCGGTGCTTCCATGGCTTGAGAACAGAATCCCGGTCTCAAACCTCTTTACCATTTGGCTTTTATAAAAGGGCAGGCTGCAGCCTTCTGAGCACGACGATGGCCCTCCCTTAGGCTGGGCGCCTCTCCTACCACTGTCCTCCTTAAACAGAAGCCCACCTCCATGGTGAAGACCGCTGAAGAGCAGAGCAGGCTTCTCATCAACTTCTCATTATAAATACGTTTCTCTGCCTTTCAACCTGCTTTTAAGTTTAATTTCCAAGTGGGAACCTGTACAGCCGATAAGATAAAGGTACATGTATGGATGCAGGAGCTGTCATAACCTCTCGAGAGACACAGCTGACATCTTCATTCGACTAGCTCAATGCAGAAATGTTCCGTGAATCCCCAGGTTAGAACACCGTCCTGAAATAAGGAGACACAGCTGCTGTCTGGGGCCTGTCTTCACTCCAACACCTGCTTATATGGCCACGGTTCCTTCTTTGGAGGCAGCTTCACTGTTCTTGCCATATCAGGTTTCAGCCAGTCAGGACTCTGTGGGCACCTTCAGTCCATCTCCTAAGGAAGGAGCAGCACAGAGTCAGTCTCATTCTAGAGCTCAGTGCTTCAGAACACAAGCGCCGGGCGCTGGCTGTGGCTCAGCAAACAGCGTGTGCCTAGCTCACAGAGACCTGGGCTCAAGCCCCAGCACCGCCAACCCAGGTGTGGGACTTCGTGCCTGCAGACCCAGCACTCAGAATGCGGAGGCAGGAGGATTACCTTGTGTTCCACTGCTATCTTGGGACAGAGTGTGGACTCTGCCTTCCCCCGAAAAACAACTCCTCCCAACAAAGGAAATCCTGGGTAATGTTTCTGGCAGGTTCTAAAATTCCAAACATCCACAAATATTTTTGCAGATTATCTATCTCCATCTAGCTTCCACTTGGGGATGTGGAAGCAGAGCATGACACTTTTGGGGAACGTGGCCCTTTTTGAGCAGTCTGGAAAGACTGGCCTTGGGTTTAGCTTGGTGTAAACATTTTGTGAGCATTCGCACTGTCCTGGAGTTAATTCACAGCGCCGCCAAAATAAAAACTCAGGGCTGCCTTAGCAGAGGACGTGTTCTCAGATTCCTGGAGATCTTAGCCTTTTTCACCGAATTTGTTTATTACTCCTATTGGTTTCTGCCTGTCATCCTTGGGAAGCACACGCTTTTATAGAGAATTGAAATTATGGGCCAGTGAGATGGCTCCATGGGCAAAGACTTATATTGCCAAGCCTAATGACCTGAGTTCAATCCTCGAGACCCACACGCTGGAAGGAGAGAACCATACCCTAAAGCTGTCCTCTGACTTCCCCACACAAACGTAGGAAAGTGTAGAAGCTTTTTGATTACTATGTGTGGGGCTGTGGAGATGGCTCAGAGTTGCTAGGCAGGCATGAAAAGTTGGGCTCAGATCCCCAGCACCCATGTTGCAGCTCACAAGCACTTGTAATTCTTTAATTCTAGTCCCGGAGGATCCAACACCCTCTTCTGGCCTCTGCGGGTATCAGGCACACACACAGGCACACACTCAGGTAGAGCACCCATACACACAAAACAACTATAACCCCAGTGTTGGCGGGGAAGGGAGGCAAGTGGCAACCCAGAGCTTGATGGCCAGCTAGTTTAGCCTAAACGGCAAGCGCCAGCTTCATTGAGACCCCACCTCAAAAAGACAGCGCAAGCTCAAAGAAGGCACCTGATAATGACCGCTGGCTTCTAGCAGACGCAACACACACACACACACACACACACACACAGAGCCCAAGGGAGCGCTTCGCTCATGCTCCAAGTCTCCCCATCCTGGGATCCCACCAGCAGAGTGGGACCTCCTCTAAACAGTCTGCAGTTGGTCAAAACGGGGGGGTGGGGAGGCTCAAGCTGAAGCTCTGCTGGGTTAGGGTAGCCCAAGCAAGCAGGCAGGGACCACAGGGCCCTATGAGAAGGCGGGGGGTGGGGCGCTGGTATCACTGGTCCTTACATTTCTAACCAAGTTCCTCACATAGGTGAACAGGTTCTGGTTAATGAAGTTCACTGTCGTGCGAAAGACATCACGGAGCAAGGACGGCGCGTGACTGGCCACTTTTTTGGCCAGCAGCATGGTCATTATCAGCATGGCCTTGTCGCTCTCCATGTCTTTAGGGTAGGCTGTCTTCACCTCATCGAGGGCTTGGGCCAGGCAGTTCCTTCTGTCCTGCACATTAAAGAAGACAGAGATTGAACCCGGCAGAAGGAGGGAGAAGCCTTTCAGAGTGGAGGTTTGTCCTCCCCCTAAGCTCTTTACTCTGATCTAAGGGATCCTAAGTCTCAACCAACTAAATTCTTTGGGGAGACTATACTGGTGGGCAGTCACGGACAGGCTCACTTCCTGGAAGAGACTCTGTGTCAACAAAGGAAAGGTCCCCGCACTTCCCCAGAGCCCAAGAAGGGGAGCTCCCGGGCTGGAGTCACGTACTTCCTCCGACAGGCTGCCGGTCATGAACTGCGAGGCCAGCTGTCTCACCAGCGTGGGCCGGATGCGCTGGTCCATCTCATCGCCTACTTGGGCGAGATGTCTGGCAAGGTTCTGGATGAGTTCTTCCTGACTTTCAGAATCTGCACGTTGAGACAGCAAATACAAACAAGACTCAGCAACAGTCCCGGCCAAACGGCTTCAGGCCACATGCCCGAGAGGGGACCAGCCATGGCCCCGGGTCCAGGGGAGGCCCGAGGGGCAGATGCCGGCTGGAGACGCAGGCCTGTCCCAGAGGCGCAGCGTCGCTGAGGGGAACCTGGGTCCAGCCTGGCACTAGGGAAGCAGCTGTGCAGTCAGCAGCTACCGTGTCCCTGCTCTGAGTGCCCTCCCGGACCCCAGGCCTCCTTTACCTCCTCACAGGGCGGCGGAGGAGCTGGCTCTTCCTACCCTCTCACTCTGTTGACGCCCAGAGCTACTGTGTACGCCCACACTTTGTCTACCAGGACTCCCGTGCCCTGTCGCCTCTCACACTGTCCCTTCGCTGCCCGCGCCTCTCCGGCTGGGCCGTCTCTGTCCCAGTCTGCTCTTTTGCTCTCTCTTTCTGGCACTTACGTCTGTTTCTCTGGTCCGGCCCAGCCGCTTGAATGTAAGGTCCTGAAAAACTGTAATTCTGTAATTACTGTGTTTTACGTGCGTGAGTGTTTTGCCTGCGTCTAAGTTTTGGAGCACTGGTATCCATGGAGGTCAGAAGAGGGCACCAGAGTCCTGGAATTAGAGTCACAAGGGTTGTGGGCAACCGTGTCCATAAGGGGATTGAACCTGGGTCCTTTGCAAGAGCTACAAGTGCTCTTAATCATGAGCCATCTCTCCAGGCCCTGAAAAACCAATTTTTAAAATCTTTTGGTTTATTGTTAGATAGCCAACCCTTAAGAACAAGGCATGATTGGCATATACTTGGTGCCCAGTAATTGGGTGAATGGTAGGAATGAGTGAATGAAACAGACTTGTACACAGTCACTAGAAAGTACTCAATAAACATCGCTTTTGTTTGTAACTTCCCTGTGGCTTCCTATTTGTCCTGACAGAGCTTCGCTCTCTCCCTCCCTCGGTCAGCTATCAAATAGGACCTCACAAAGCAGGTTCTGTATCTTGGAACCAGGAAGAGGCTACAGTGAGCAGAGTCCTGAGGGCACTCACTTTAAGGAAGTGGAGAGAGGCCCAGGGTACTCAACGCTGGAAATGAGGGGAAGCGGGCGCCTTCTGTCCTGTGCTCTCCTGTCAATGCTGGTTTCCTGGGGGAGCAACTCAGCCTCACCCAAGTGGGGCAATCGCTCCAGCACTCGGCTGCACCCCAGGCCCTTCACTCAGTTGACGCATGTCAGAGAACCACCACACTGCTGTCAAGGCCTTGCCATCGCTCAGCTCACTTCTACTCGAGTGCCTCTCCCCAGCTTCCGGTTCCCTGTGATTTAATCCCACTGCTCTAAAAGTGTTCCAGGCAAACTTGGCTGCTCACTCACTTGCTGCAGCCTCTATTCTCCCCACTTCAAGTCCGATCAGATAACATACAGCCAATCCTCCACAGAGCCTTGGTGGGATCAATGTCAGCCCCCAGTCACCCTCCCTGACACCCCGAGGTAAGCCGGGCTTTAAAGGCATGGATAGACCGACCCAGAAAGCGGCAGGGAAAGCGCAGAGTGAAGACGGGTTTGCGCTTGCACACAGCCAGGCCTTCCTCCAGGGCAGATGCCTCAGGTGGGATTTGAAGAGTCTGTGGCAAAACCCGGCCCGTGAAAAACACCTGCCACACACCAGCCTATTTGAGACAACACTTCAAGGGCATTAAAAAAAAATGAACCACACTTGGCAGAGGCAGTCCTAGTTTCAGGCTAGTCAGGGTAACACAGTGAGACTCAGTCTCAAAAAATTTAATTAGCTAGGAGGAAAAAAAAAAAAAAAAAGGCTAAACCAGTTGCTGGTCTCCCTCACGAGCACTAGAGGGCAGTGCAGCCTCTATGGCTAGGATCAGGGCAGCGGGGTACCAGATCTAGCTGGTGAGCCCTATCGCCTTGCTTGCTTACTTGCCTGTAAGTGACAAACCCAGGGTTTTAGAAGAGCCAGGCGCTCCTTCAGTGACCTCCATCTCCAGCCTGCAAGGCTGGGAAGCCTCAGACTAAGGCTTGGAGGTCCTGCGGGGCTAACAGGGCAGTGATTCCAACCAGGATCAAAAAGTCATGGAGGCGAGATGGCTCGGAGGTGCTTGCTGCCAAGTCTGATTACCTGGGTTCGATGTGCATACCCCCATATCCAGATAGACAGACAGACACACATTAAAAAAAAAAAAATCATCCAGTAGTCTCCAGCCCAGGAACACACTGGAGCAGAGCCGCAGGCCTAAAGAACTCACATAATGCCAACGTGCTCTGAGCACGCGAACTCCCAGCCTTCAGGAAGCCTCCTGCTGCAGACACGGCATGAGAACAGAGGCTGGGAAGACAGCCCAGGGCTCAGGGCAGGGAAGAGCAAAGGCTGGGTATGGCCGGAGGTGACAAGGGTGCAGGAGGTAACTGCACGGGTTAAGGAACAGCCCAGCCAAGCCCTGCTCCCGGAGCAGGGGCAGTTCGATCTGAGTAGTCTTTTCACTCTGCTGTGCCTCAGTTTCCTTATCTTCAGCTCTCTGGTTATCAGTTAAGATTCATACAGGACGCAAAAATGATTAGAAGGGCAGGAGTTTTCACTGGTCTGGGAGGTCCATGGGCCTACACAGGTGCTGTGGGGCCAGGAGCAGACTAGCAAATATCCCAGACCTCCATGATCTGAGTGGCTTTCCGAAACTCCCAAACTCTTTGAAATTCTACAAGCTGAATGGTGGCACCTCTGGTTTATAAGATCTCACCAGTTTCTAACCTTCGGCTATATTATAACTGCTTGGGATATATGGTAAAAACACAATTTAACACTGGTCCAGAGAGGAGACTCAGGTGCAGACCGGAAGAGAACTCAGGATGCACCAGCAGGAGGAACTTCCTAATTAGTCCTCAAACAGGGGGATAACGGGTTAGACACGACTGGGGCCATCAAGCACAGATCACAAGGCAAGGGTCATGTGACATGTACATATATAAGAACCTGACAATGTAGAGTTAGAGAATGAGCCCCAGAGCCTTTGGGGGACAGTAAAGCCTCGGTTTGGGGTGAGGTGGGGGCCTACCTGGTTCTATTCTTCCATGGTAGAAGGAACGGCTAGGCCGGTTGCCATCTGTCTGCAGCTCGTCCTCAAGGTCTGCCTCTGGGTAAACTGGTATGGTCAGTTCATGACCCAGTTCCTCCAGCTCTTGGCGGAAATTATGGCCAGAGCTTTGGAGAAAGCCGAACACCAGTAGGTTTGTGATGTGCTCAGCCTCAAGGCCTGAGCCGTTGCTGACCTAAGATGAAAAGGGAATCAGGAACAGGGCACAGTTAATAACTCTGAGGATCCACAAGGCCGAGTGAGAAGGCCTATGGGCGGATGGATGGTCTACCATGCCCTCTCTAACTATAGACACCAAGGAGGTGATCTAGCCACCTTCCTCCCCAAAGACACCCACTGGGGAGGTGGCTCGGAGGGTGAGATCTGTATGCTTTATCAGGGGAGCCAGGCAAATGCTATCTCTGCAGCTCCAGCCATGTTTACGGACGGGGCTGAGCCTGACCAAACCGTTCCTAGCATCAAGCAGCTCTGCTTTCCCATCATTCCCTTCATGAGCTGACAAAGGATGCTCAAGAAACTCTGTTCCACTTCATGGGGACGTGTGCAGAGTCGGAGGTGAAGGAAGGGTCCTGCTCACGGGCCTCTCGGCTCTGCACTGGGGAGGAGCACTCAGACAGCACTCCCTGTGCCCCCAAGGCCCTGCGGTACAACAAAACTTAGCAAGGAAACCTGCGTCACATCACGTCCCTCAACTGCGCACTTAACACTTGTAATCAATGCTAACTTTATGTTATCTTACCATAAAAATCCGGAATTAAAAAAAATTCAGCAAGCCAGAAATCCCTACAATTAGACAGCAGCTCTGATTGAGGCGGGGGTGGGGCAGGGGGGAGAGTGTTGTCAAATGCCAAGATGTAAGAGCAAATGTCAATGTCAGCGCTTCGCTGTGGTCTCAACCTGTGCGCAGTGGGCAAAGCTACCTAATTTCTGTGCCTCGGCTTCCCTGCCCCGACGGTAAAAAGAAAGGGAAGACCCTTGCTCTGGGGAGGAGGACCACGGGAGGACGGCTCTCCAGAGGCCCTGCAGGACAGCAGGAGATGACTTGCAGACTGTGGCTGACTGGAAGGGAAGACATTGGGAGGCTCAGAAGCCACTACTGCCCACACCAAGCTCAGCCCCTGACTGGAGCCTCCTGGATCTTCTCTGCCAAAACAGATAGCTTCTTCTGTGCTGTCTTTGCCATGCCTACCAGGCCGACAGTCATGCCGTTCCATCCTCCTGTTCCAGACCAAGCCCCAATACTGTTGGACATGTGAGGTGCATGTCTGCACACCTGTCACACGAGGGGTCATGTGACAGGGGCATCCAGGAAGAGCAAAATGAAAAGATGCAGAATCTCACCTGAGAGTCCATGGCAGACGCTGGCCACCACTGCCGGCTCACAGAGACCAGGGAACAACCTGGAAGAGGACATACAGATGGTGTAGGCAGCTGTTCCCTGAAGCAGTGCCCCTGTGGGGGCCCCTCAGGACGCTCCCACATCTGCAGGGTCATATTCACCCACCACCCCCGGCTCTCAGCCTGGGTTCCTCTTCGCCCGCTCCCCCCAGCCCCCGCACCACACACACAGAGAACCAGGGCAGCGACCAGGGAGTCAAGCCTGCAGTTTTCCTCTTTGTAGCTTCAGCTGGTGTGAACTGGGCACCCCCAGGCCACTCACGCTCAGTAACACGGATCAGGCCAACCAGCCTGACTGGTTAGTGAGTCACGTCCACCTGCAGGATTGCAGCGCCTCTACATTACAGGGTCGCAAGCCCTCCCGAACCACCAAGGCATTTCGTCTTCCTGCCCACACAGTGAGGCTGAGCAGACGGTGTGCATTCGGCTTAATGGGAAGAAAATACAGTTTGGAGGGTCATTTCGAGCCAGAAGACAGCTTGGCTGGGAGAGTGTGCCTGTCACTCACACTTTCTGACCCACCGAATTCTCAAACACTGACTGGACCAAAGCCGCTAAGTCTAAGATGAGCACAGAGCCCTAGGTAAGTTACGTGAAGTGATGTCACATGCCCGTAACCACAGAGGATCAGAAGTTCAAGGTCATCCTCTGCTACCCTGAACTGGAAGCCAGGCTGGGCTACATGGTGCCGTATCTCCAAAGAGACAGATAACTGAATGAAATTATTCCAGAGTCAAAGACACGCATGCAGAGAGGATGGGAAATAGAAGAACCCATGCAGGTGGTTCACATCCATCTGTGACTCCAGCTCCAGGAGGATCTGATGTTCTCTTCTGGCCTTTGTGGACAATACAGACTCATGTAAACCCCTCTCCCATGCCCCCCCCCCGCCAATAGGGGTTGGAGAGATGGCCCAGTGGCTAAGTGCCCTGGCTATCCCACCCGAGGATCTGGATTCGGTTTCCAGCACCCATCTCTCCAGCCCTATCTTCTTTTTTCTTTTTGCAATACAAATCACCAAATCTAAGATTTTCCAGGGTTACCCAGTCATAGCTTCAGGTATAAAGAGCCTAAAAGGCCTGGGAGCAGAGCCTGATGGTAGGACACTTGCTAACATGAACAAAGCCCCGAGTATTCCAAAATGCCTGGAGCATTGCAAAATATAAGTAAGCAAATATAGAAGGTTAAACTTTTTCTAAACGTAGAGTCTAACTTTAGAAAACAATGAACATCAAGTGTTGCCAGAAGCACGAGGCAGCAGGACACAGGACTGAAACAGGATAGCGTGGCCTTGAGAACAGACGTGGTTATCCATTAATGACACGAACCCGGACGGTTTCATAAGCAGTGAGCTTTGCACCCCCGCCGACCTAAAAAGTCAAGAGCACCATGAAGCGACACACGGCAGCAAAAGCTCCTCTGCTCTCCAGGGTCACTGCGATCGGGCTGTTTCTATTAAGAGGGTTTGGGGACTTCTTGTTTTGTTTTAAGAGGAACCCCCCAATCTAAAACACCTAGCGCATTGACACCATTCCAGTTTTTTCATTCATATTCCAAATGTAGAAGCGCAATTAAAAAAAAATCCTAAGAATGTTTGCTTTGTATGAATAACATGTCCAGATTTCGCTAGTGAAAGCCCCTGCACAGCCTAGACCCAGCGACTAAAGCAACATTTCACACTTACGCAAGAGGCAAAGGCCCTTCTCAATTACAGACCCAGGGATCTCCTCTCCTGCATCAGCTTCAATTTAGGTGGCACAGACTCTAATCCCAGCTACTTAAAAGGCTGAGGCAGGAGGGTCACAAATTCAAGACTGGCCTAGCTACTTAATGAGACCTTGTCTCTAAATAAATATAAAGCAAGGCTGCCTAGAATGCACACAAGGCCCTGGGTTATGGTGGGGGTGTGTGTGTGTGTCTTAGCTTACTTTCTAATGTAATGAAACACATGACCAAAACAACTTGGGACGAAAGTACATATTTCAGCCTACATCTGTCAGGTCACACCCCATCACTGAGGAAAGTCAGGGCAGGAACTTAAGATAGGAACCTGGAGGCAGGAGCTGATGCAGAGGCCATGGAGGGGTGCTGCTCACTGACTTGTTCCTCAGAGTTTGCTCAGCCTGCTTTCTTATACCGCTCAGGGCCACCAGCCCAGGCATGGCATGGCATGACCCCAGCAAGCTAGGCCCTCCCACATCAATCATCAAACAAGAAAATGCCCACAGGCTTCCCTACACGCCAATCTGATGGAGGCATTTTCTCAGCTGAGGTTCCTTCTTGCCACATGGTTCTAGCTTGTGTCAAGTTTACCAAAAACAAAACAACAACAACAAAAAATCTAAAGTAAACAATGGCGCGCACACACACACACACACACACACACACACACACACACACACACACACACAGACCTAAACTCACAGGTCCAGATAACAGACGCTGTTCTTCCCGATGAACACAAAACTGGATGCAACTGAGCTCAAGAGACTAAGGGCCCAGAGAAACAGCCCAGGAACCAGATGCTGTCTCTCAACAGAGAACATCCATTCATAAAGACAAATAAATGTGCATACCATAAAGCTAAGTCCTTGATGTGCCACCAACGAGACCACTTCATTGATCACGTAGCAGTCACGGACTAAGACAAAATCCAAATGCAGGGCAGGGCAGGGGGGACTGGCACGCTGGCCGGCAAACTCTACTCTTGACCCTACCTCCCAGGAGGACAGGCAGGTGCCATGGTGGCCAGCTCGCTCAGTGAGTTCCAAGCCTGGCTGCACACTGGAATCTACTGGGAAGCCCTATGCACATACTGATCTGACATGACCTCACACAAGCAGCACCCAAGGGATCCACTGAGAATAGTTCACAAGGAAAACCAGGTGGAATCCAAAATAAATTAAATTAAATGATGGTTACGGTGCCAAGACCTCGTGACGGGAGCATTGGCAGTCTCATTTGTGGCATCTTTTGGCCGTGTCTGCTCCCTGACGGTAGGCTCAGTTCCTCATAGGTGACCCATAACAACTCTATCAGAGTGACTCGGCTTTGTCTGCAGAAGCAGACCCTCAGGTGATGCCCTGATGTGTACCCTGGCAATGCCTTGTGTCATGTGTTTGCTGATGCTGCCATGGCAACCTGAGTTTTTCCCGTCTTCTTCAGCCTGGACAGTATATCCATGGATGGCCAGTGTATGTCTGATAAGAAAGAGCCCTGGCGTCTAATTTTTTTTTCAAATTTATTTATTTTTCTGTGTTTGAGTATTTTCCCTATGTGTATGTCTGTATCACATGGGTGCCTGGTGTCTGTGGAGAAGGAACCAGGTCTCCTGAACTGGAGCCACAGACAGCTGTCAGCCACCGTATGAACTTGAACTCAGGTCCTCCGGAAGAGCAGCCAGTGTCCTTAACTGGTGAGCCATCGCTGCAGCCCTCCTAGGATCTGTTTTGAGAGTCTTTTGTGTGACATCTGGCAGAGGTGCAGAGTTTCACTCCTTTGATAGCGGATGCTTGGTTGTCCCAGTGTCTTTAGCTAAAACACTGTTCTTTCCCTGTGACCCCGTAGTCAGTGGTTGACGAACCATCTCTGGATTATCTTGGGGTTGTTTGCTGCTCTGTTTCTCCTTGACCATGCCCACATTGTCATGACTCTCTAGAGCTCTAGTCAGTTTTGAAATCAGGAAGCGCAAGTCTACCCACTCGGTTCCTTTTCACGATCGGCTATTTTTGAAAATGTCCTCTGCGTCCCCTTATGAATTTAGGAAATGCTGGAGTTTTGTTGTTGTTTTGTTTTGTTTTAAATAGAGATCGGATTGAATCTGCAGATCGTGTGGGGAGGACTGTGGTCTGCATGATGTGCTCCAACCCTTTCCTTTTTTTCCTCTCAACACGTTTTGCGGTTTTCAGTTAATGTGCAGGCCTGACAATTATATTAAATTTATTCCTAAGTATTTTTTAAATGTTTTGTGTATTGATTTTTTTTTTTTTAAACAGCACTGGGATTGATCTCAGGCTCTTGGGGGACGTATGTTCTGCTCTGGAGTTGCAGGCCCAGGTCTTAGTGTTTTCTATTTCTTGGCACCGTAACCATCATTTAATTTAATTTATTTTGGATTCCACCTGGTTTTCCTTGTGAACTATTCTCAGTGGATCCCTTGGGTGCTGCTTGTGTGAGGTCATGTCAGATCAGTATGTTCATAGGGCTTCCCAGTAGATTCCAGTGTGCAGCCAGGCTTGGAACTCACTGAGCGAGCTGGGCACCATGGCATACTCTCTAAGCAGTCTGTCCTGGTGAAAGCCAAGTCAGCACGAGAGCTGGAGAGATTCAGGGGGCTCAAGGCCCCAGTAGGTGACCTGACACTACACAGAAAAAAGTTCATTAAGTGAAAACAAATTATTTTAATTTTGTGTATATTACGTATATATTGTGTGTATTTTAATTTTGCCTCTATGTACCTCTGTGCGCTACATGTGTGTCTGGTGCTCAGAGGCCAGAACAGGGTGTCAGATCCTCTGGAACTGGAGTTATGGAGGGTGGTGAGGCCCCATGTAGATGCCAGGAATCCAGCCGAGTCTCTGAAAGAGCAGCCAGTGCTCTTACCCACTCAATCATCATCTCTCCAGCCCAAATAATAGATTTTTTTTTTAAGCAGGGTCTCACTATGTAGATCTGGCTGTCTACTTACCATGTAGACGAGGCCCACCTCCAAGAGAGCCACCTTCTGAGTGCTGGGATTGAAGGCTCGGCACTACCTTGCCTGGCTTCGAAATACAGTTTCTCTTTGTTGTTGTTGTTTGTTTTTTTGTTTTGTTTTTGAGACAAGCATTTCACGGTATGTAGCCCTGGCTGACCTGGAACTCACTTTGTAGACCAAGCTAGCCTCAAACTCCCAGAGATCCGCCCGCCTCTGCCTCCCCCCAAGTGCTGGGCTTAAAGGTGTGAGCCATCATGCCCCAACTGAATACATAAAAAAAAGAAAACAAAAACAGATGTCACACTT